TATATATATATATATATATATATATATATATATATATATATATATATATACACGCAAAGATATACGCATACATGGCGTACCGGCAGACGTTTGAACGACGCATCGAGCGCCGACATCTGAGACGGTAAAGACGCACTCGACGCGTTACACATAGAGTTATACGCGACACATAAACATACACATACACATGCATATGCAAATGTATACATACCGATCTTCCCTTAAACGATTCTATACATACGATACGAACCCATACGGGCACACTACTGTAGATCATCACACGTCACACGCGAGACACATATGTATTGAGGAAAAAAGAGAGAAATCACATATATACGCGAACACTAACCCACACACAGATATTACCAATGTGTAATAATTTATTTTTTCACTGGTATATAGTCGGAAAGAATTGAATAATGAATATATCTGTAGAGCCTATGTATTATATTCAAAATATGCACACTCACTCTTCACGGGTTCTCGCGAAACGGTGTAGGAACTACAACAACACTTGTCCCCGACTCGTGTCGAGCGAACCGTCGCCGAGATCCGACATTAGATCGATTTAAGACAAAGGTGTCTTCCAAGCTTTCTCCACATCGAGGCGTCGCTTACGTTTCGCGCAGACCGAATGGATAATGCATTCCGGTTTGCAACGCGGAAGCTATTCAGGCACTAAATACGTAAAGCGTGCGTCCGTAAACGAATCTGAAGATCGAATCGCGGGTAGCTTCCTCGCGTAGAACCTTCGAAGAGAAAGGAAGAACCTAGATAAAATAAATGACGGCTTGTTCATTCGCACGAGACGGTACAATAGTATGAAGAGGAACAACAATAAATGCAGTAGAATGTAGGAGAGAAAACGAGAGAGAAAGAGAGAGAGAGAGCAAGAGAGTGTATGGCGAGTGATGTGCAGTAGGAGAAAGAAGAAGAGGAGCAAAGGAGGAAGTAGAAAAAGAGCCAGCCGGTGTGTTCGTAAGGGACGTTGAGTGACTTCGTTGCCGGTCCCCGCCCGTCCTCAGAAAAACCATCGGGAATCGATTTCCTTTCGAGATATTGCCTTTCGATTTGACATCCGGAGTCGATGACCCTCCAAGCTGTCAGAGAAAACCTCTTCGAATCGTTAAACCACGGCCCCTTTGCCGTTATGTGTTTTGGAATCCGGAAATTCCCTCTCGTTATTATTTTGTATAATCGTTGTAGAGAGTACTCTATTTATATAAATAATTATTTGTAGACGAGCAAGAAACGTAATTTATTGATCAAAATAAATTGCTTCAATAAGGATTAAAAAAACGATTTTAAGTTTAGCAGCAAAGTTGATTCCTCGTGGCAGCATCCTTTTAATCAAACCGAACGGAGTCGCCCGCTGAGCTTTACGGTGCTAAAAACAAAAGAATCAAGTACAAAGATAGCGCGAAAAAGAGAGCCAATCCAAAAGAAGAATGATCGAGCGGGCGGGCGGGGGACAATCTCGCGAGAGCAACGAGTTGTCGCTTAGTGTTCACAAGGTTAATTAGGTGATTACGTAATTAAAAGGCCGCGCGTTATTGTCGACGAGCTCGTCTGATCGCGAGAATCGCGTCGATCGTCTCTTAATGCATTTCAGTTATGACGTTAAATGATTATTTCAAAAAAAATCTACTTTAATATTCTTGTTGTAAATTAATCTAGCAGTTGAATTTTTAATTCCATCAGGCACGATTGACTTTTACTACAAAATGTTTATTTCAAAACGTCATCAGAGCTTCACTATTACTATAAACTTTTGATATAAATGGCAAACACGACTCCTCTCTCAAGTGACACTTTGCAATGAAAATTCCTTTTTCACTTGATCGGAACCGTCTTCCTTTTTAAACTCGTCTGTACAAAAGAAGATAATTATGGGTCGCGTTTTGTGTGAGCCACTGGCTCCGTATATTCCATCCAGCTTCGAGATCGTGCCTCGAATCGATAATGGAGCTAATTTAAAGTTACTTTGTAATCCCCCCCAAGATAATAATAATAATAACGCTCAGTGTATACGCGACTTGAGAAACTCGATTCAGCGGGAGTTTCGCGGATGTTGGCGAGGTGGATTTTTCACTGTCCGCGGGAAACATGCGCTTAATTTCTTGCGACAATCGCGATTGACGGTCTTGCTGACGAGAGCCGACAGTAACGGCGGCGGAGGTGCCGCGAGCCGCGGGCCGCGCGCACTAGGTGCTAAAAGTATTCAAAAGTGTTTAATCCTGTGGTCGTGGGACAAAACGCGAGGAGAACGGGCCCGAGGGGGGGAGGGAATCCCGGAGATCGCCGGTCCGATCCGATTAGACAGCGCGTCTACTCTCCTTAGACTAATTTCTACGACAACACGATCTCCAGGGACGAGATGTGTGATGTCGTTCTTTCTTACGCGCACTTTTATATAGATCTTGTAGCGAATTATCCTTAATCCCCCTAGTTAATGGACGATCCTCCCCGCTGCGGCAATCCAAGAAATCGGCGTGATTCGTGCTTCGTAAGGTCCATTTTTCAATATAAAGTCTCTGTAAAACACACAGATAACAGACTTACAACATCGTCCTTAGAATTTGCGATCGCGAATTACGGGAGCCGCGTTATTTCAAAGAAAGAAAAGAAGAATTTTTTTACACGACATCTTGGTCCAAAGCGTAGTTGAACATAGTTGTAGATTTAATCAATAAATACGTCAGCTTTAGAAGAAATGCGGGGATGGTGGGCGGGTGGTCTCCGGGCGGGCCCGGTGGGTGTGAAACAAGTTTTAACCGCGAAATTAACTAAGTAGACGTGAGGGTGGACGCTGATAAAGGACAGAACCCTTTAGTAATATCTAAACTTAATTGTAACTATTAACGATACGTACGACTGTGGTAGCTATGCTAGTACCTGCTATTGTTAAAGAGAAATTGACGAAGATGCGAGTAAGATAGAGACGATGAATGGAGGGGGAGGAAGGGGGGAAAATGCCGCTGGAAAAGATCGAATTGTAATATGATGTCTCGGTGCGTATCGAGATTTACTGATCGACTCGATATCTGTATAATGAGAAATCTCTTTATCGATAAATATTTCTTATAATGATTTACTCTGTCGATTTCGCGAAAATTTTGTGTGATCGTTATTACAAAATTATTAAAATTATTCTTAAAAAATTATTCTTTCATAGAATACTAATATCGATTTTCCAAGTAACTAATCATAATGCAAAAATCGCTTCGATGACATCTGACGAGTTTATCTTCTTTTTAGATACGCATTCGAGTATCATTGTGCATCGAGACCAGTTTCGCATCGCGTTCCGTCAACGAATCTCGCAAACGATGACGTCAAGAGAATTCATCTCGCGATGAAATGGATCTGAATCGAAATTTTTCTCCTATTTTCTATCTCAATTTTCAATCCACCATCTACTTTAAATAGTAAGATCACTCTCTTTTGAAATTTTTTAATCTATAATTATGCCAAAAGCTCCTTTTTTAAATCTCTGAATAGGAAACTGTTCGTTACCTATTTGAGGTGTAAAAAGAAGCTTAATATCTACATAAATTAAATATCGAAATTTTCCAGAAACCAGAGGATGAGAAAATTGAAGATGAAAATAGGAGCAAAATTTCAACTCGGAACACTCCTCGTTTCCGTCGTCCCATCGCGATCGAACGGACGCGGCGTTTATTCTCGTAATTTTTCTAACAATTTGATTGATTTCTTGAGCGGCACAGATTTTCTTTTTCGCACGATGAAGATTAAATCGGGAAGAAAATCCGTCGGTCTTCGCTCGGCATCGCCGGATCTCGGGCGCGACTAACTTTGCGGGCGAGAGGAAATTCCGGGCACGCGAGAGAAATTCTTTCTCTCTCCAGGCACGAGATCGCGAAAGTTTCGACGGCGCACGGTCGCATTCTGCTGACATTTCGAACAGGCGGACGACGAAGAGGACAGTTGAAAAGAAATCCGCGCGCGGACGGAAAACTTTGGAAATCATCGTGTCCGCGGAAACTTTGCAGACTTTAAACGAATCTCGGGCCTTCGGACTTTTGAACGGCACTCGAATAACACACGACGTTTATATGAAAGACGTCGGCTTACAGTCGACGTGTACGCGCGATCCGAAAATTTCACGGTCCAGCGAGGGCGACGGAAAGGAAGGAGGGAAGGAGAAGCGAAGAGGCGGAGAAGATGGACGACGGAGCACAAAGTGCGAAATTACGGGGATAGGACACGAGACGGAGGAGAGAGCGAGAGTGGCAACTCACAATGCAATAAGTCGCGAATCAAATGGATCTCGGGCTTGAGACGAGAGGCTCAGATTAGCGAAGAATCAAACACGATGTATACTCTTCAAAACAAACAAATAAACAAACAAAAGTGAAACTAAGGGAATAAAAAAAGGGGATATACTAAATACATAGGAGACGCGCGCAATAGAATGCGCAACTGGGCGCGAATAGAACGGCGCGAATCAACAGTGAGAAAAAGAGAGAGAGAGAGAAAGAGAAAGTGAGAGAACGAGAGGAAAAAGTTAAGCGAATCTAATTAATACTGATAGAGCATATACTAATTGAGATACACAAAAAAAAACATATAGTATTATACGTTTACGATACGATTGTAATGAATACTTTATAAGCGAGAAAAAAAAATTACGCATAGTTTTTTCCATACCCCGTAAAATGGATGTACTAATTCGTTGAAAGGGAAAGTTCAGACAGAAGCCACACATATAAGTAAGTGTATACATATACGCGCACACATACACACATACATACACATACAGATTCGTTCAAAGTCACTCGGGTACACACAAGAGTTTACAAGAAGAAATAAAAAAGAAGTCAGTAATCTGTCTCTTTAAAGTATCATGTGTCTATAAACTATAGCGAGATCGATATTGTCTCTTACATAAATGGCAAAAAAATAATACAAATAACCGTGGTAACGTCGTGTAAAGTAGCGATAAAACAAACACACTCTGCAATATATATATATATATGACATAAAATATATATATAATATATATATTCTTACATTTATAAAAAGGTGGAACACACACATATGCGAAGAGTGTATATGGGACAGGCAGTTTGCGGGAAGCCCGAAAGAACGTGCGATCTCGCGCATCCGAGGGATATCGAACGACACGAGTAAATAAAAAAAAAATCGATCTTTTTCCATTTTCCGCTGGAATTATCCCGAATGAAGGAGAAGAAAAGGATGGCGTATTTCGATATCATCGAATGCGCATCGAGATATCACACGGAACACATCTACACAATACACACACACACACACAGATTTCCAAAAAAAAGAAACTATCGATTATTCTACCAAGTAATGAACAAGAGGATGATAATTAGATTTGTAATTAATTATATATATATTTTTCAATACTTTAACTACTTGCTGAATGTATATAAATATACATAACTATACATATATATAATATATTTATATTATACATACACACACTTAATGCGCGCAGGATGCGCGAAAGAGAAGGGTACGGCGACGAAGGCCGTCTCGCGGAAAGTCTTGCGAGGAAACGCGAGGAGAAGATTGAAGGAGGAAAAGATCATTATTAACTCAGATATGCAATGATTTTTGCTCGAAAAATTTCGGCTAAAACAATCGTCCTTTGATCTTCGGCGTCTTGCGTAAGACTCTCGGCGAGCGTCCCTCGATTGGCGTTTACTCGTTTCCGTTTCGGCCGCGAGCCACGAGGATCGAAAGAAAACAAAGAATAATATACGAGGCAGGAAGGAGAAGAGGGAAATTGTCGTGGTAAATATCGATGCCGAGCGGAAATGCGAACCCTTCCTCGAGGCCACGTCGAGGAGGCGGAAGAGGTCTGTGAAATCTTTTTGTACCCCACCCAAGTCACACTCTCGGTGTCGAAAAAAAAAAGAAAAAAAAGTACGTTACACTACGTGTAAGCGAATCCTAAATGTAACTGTTAATTGCCCCTACTCCAAAGCCCCCCCCCCATCCACGCAATTTGTAGAGAAAAAAGAAAATCGTGCGAATGGAAAGGAACGAATGGAACGATTGACTTTATGTGTGTGTAGATACGCATGTATGGGTGTGTATGCGTGTGCGCGTGTACAACTGTGAACTGTGAAGGCACGTTCGTTCGCCTTAGTTACTTTTTTCCTCGACGCAGAATGAGAAAGATTGGAATGATTTTCGCATGCCTATGATTGTTACAGAATACACACACTATATTATATATATAATATATATTTTTGTTAATATATAATACAGTGGTTTGATAACTACATTAGCCTGTTAATGATGGATTTGTTTCTGTTTCTATCACGGCCCGTGAATATATATAGATAGATACGTGCATGTACATGGAATATATATACATATATACACATATGTATGTATGTATGCATGTATACGCATATGTATATACACTTATATAAATATCGATTATATATATATACATATATACCGCTACATTATATTTTGTTTAAACAGTGTCACGAAGCGACGATGAGGCGTTTCTTGAAATTTACCGAGCGACTTGTATGGGGCTCCGACGAAATATTGATATCGAAAAAACTCGCGTGTAATATAACTTATAATATCATTTTGTAAATTATTTTTTGTATTTTTATATATACATATATATAAATAACGAAAGCATACAAAAGAGAGTCGCGGAACAGTGTTATGCGCATGGCGAGAAATTCAGAGAGAGAGAGAGAGAGAGAGATAGATCGAGCGAGAGAGAGGGAGAGAATGCGACGAGGAGAAACAAAAAGAAATCCGTTTAGAATGGGAAAAAGAAACAAAAGAACCTCGCGATGCATTAATTAACACCGACGATATACTTAATCGATTGCTGACAGTCCTTTCGTTGATCGAGAATAGCGCCAAGATAATTATCATCGATACGATTATGTGAAATGGCATATCCGCGCTTAAATGCAAAACGTTTGTAAAATAACACGATTATAATACACACAGACACACAATGCGCATATACATGTGCGCAACATTTAATTTAATACGACACACACGCCAGTTCCGAAGATTACGATTACTTGTTTTCGATTATATTTGTACCTCTCTGTATGTATTTTGCAGCTTGTCAGTGCTTTTTGTTCGTTATTACATACTTTAAATATCACCTCGTCTTTTTGTACCAATCTCTTTTCTCTGTTCGCGTCGAGAGAAAAATGCGAAGAACTCTCTCGTCTCTATTCATACAACCTAGCGAATAAATAGTAAATTCCAAAGAAAGCGCGGCCTCGAACGCGATTATTTGGGTAACCTCGCAGAAACAACTACAATAGCGTAACCAGATGGTATTATTTTTTGAGCATCAAACGGACAGCGAATAAGTAAGAGAGCTGCGTGTTCAAGGTTCCCTCGATCGCGATTGTTTAACCCTTTGACGATTTAACCCTTTCCATTTGACGAAATTTTATTACGATGTTACATATATATATGACACTGTTAATTTATTTTCTATGTAATTATAAGCTACTATTTATTTTCTAAATCTACTTTTCTAATTAACTTGTGTTTTCGCAATTTAATTTTTTTAGAGGCAAGAATATATATTTATTCTTGTCTGTAAAAAAAAATGTGAAAGCACAAGCGGATGTCGGAAAGGGTTATTATAGGGCACTATGCTTTTTGCTATAAATTATGATAAGGGAGAACCCGGTGCGCGCGATTATTTTCGATGCGATCGATAATTTTGAATATTTAGCTACGTCGAGAATCGTCAATTGAGGAAACCAAGCGCGGTCGAGGGTTGAATCCACGAGGAAAGATTTATCGTTCTTGCCGGTCTCGGATTATCCCCGAGCGCGACGCGTAAGATGTTATCGGTCTTATGTAAATTAACCGCCATTCGAGTCGTAACGGAGTCTGACTAATTATGACAGATAATTGCCTCGTATCTCGCAAGGCTCGGAATAGCCGCTTAATCGATTCTGAGGAAGTAAAATTTATTTCGATCGCGATGAGGATGAAATGAGAGGGTGGTATGCCCGATAAAAAAAAAAATCTCGGTCGACCACTCCTCTTTTTGCGACCGATAGCGATACTTACACGCCGTTATCACGACTCGGCGAAAGATCTTTTCGCGCGTAGCGAAGGAGGCACGGCAAGCGTGAGATTGGAAAGTAATCAAAAGAAAAAAAAAAAAGAGCGACAAACTTGTTGTCGCATCTCGCCACCTCATCCTTGAATCGTGGGCTTTTGTAAAAAATCCGTCGAGAAGTTTCAAGAAATTTCGCTTCATGGAAGAACGGGGTTTCTTGATTCTCGTGTTGAATACGTGCGTGTCTACGTGTGAGAGAAATGTAGAGAGAGAGAGAGAGAAAAAAAGAGTGTATGCACTTTTCTCGTGAACGTTCTTTCTTAGTTTCTCATGCGAGCACGGGACGAGGGCGGTTGCCGAACGAATCGATTATCCGGGGATCGAAAAGTCGTCGGTCGATCTCTATCGCCCTTCTTCGATGTCGCATCGTTGGGACGAGACTGTCGCGAAATCTCTCCCCGTGATCTTTTATAGCGGAGCCTATCGTAATTTGACTCGATCGACGAGATTGTCAAAAAATGCGAAACAGAAATGTACACTTGGTTTTCTCGCGGAGAGTTTTTTTTTTTCTCTCAAGGAAATAAAAAGTTGTCAAAATCTCCGCTAAAAAAGATGCACACGGCCATTCTTTGCACTTGTAATTAGTTCTTAATTAGTAAACGAATTAGAGAAACGAAGTTGCATAATGATAAGATAGGCTAAAATTTGTACGATACAAAATTTCTCGCGCTTGAATAAATTTAATGTCAAACGGCCATGGATCGAACGACGTGGAGGTAAAAAGAGATCGAACGGCGAGGATCCGAGGACAATGTCGTCGGCGAAGTGAAAAAAGGGCAGGGCGCCTGGTATTAGTACACATTAGTTTCTTGGCTAGAGGGGGGCGCCCACTTAGTTGTTGGAATTTTATAGTCTAGACGATAATTCTCGAGTATAGTTCAATGTTGTCGAGTTTTCTATTAGTTGAGCGTGGCGAGGGAGAGAAAAATAGAGAGAGAGAGAGAGAGCGCATCGGGGAAAGCCGGAATTTCGCCCAGCGATGAAAATTCATAATATTTATACAATTGTTTGGGAATACATAGTGTCCGTAGAATTTTGATGAAAATTTAATCCCGCGCGGCAATGATCGAAACTTGCCGAAATATCGAAATGATTGGAGGGGGTAGGAACGAGAAAGAGAGAGAGAGAGAGAGAGAATATTCTGTAAAAAATCGCGATATCCTCTTCGTTTCACGTGCCGGAATGAAATGAAATTTTATCGGAAATACGAGGCTTCGATTTTACGGCGTCGAAGGTAATTATTGAAACGGTAATATCGATACTTTGTCGACCGAAACCGCTTCGGTATCGATAAAACATTAGCACGGACGCGCGCGTCGCGTTCCTCTTTGCTCGTTTATTGTGCCGTAAATCCCAGCACGCTAATTGCCTGACGTTTCTCTCCGGAACAGACGCGATTTTAACGTATAGGACGCGAGCAACGGATAACGAAATTGTGAGAAGATCATCTGAGCCCGTAAAAATGAGTTTGGAGTGCGAAGCGCGATAGATAATGTTGGCTAATAGAAATATATATATAAATCACGTTATCGCGAATATTGGCTAATGGAAATATTTATAAAATTATAGCGAAATGTCAAAAAAAATTGATAACGATATCATGGTGGCGTACACTGTGCGCGCGCGCGCGTTTTATTATTAATTCGGAAAACTTTTTATAAATTTTAATAGCGAATTTAGTAAATATAATACAGGGGGACTTTTGTTGAAAAATCCCGCTTTTTTAAGAAATATAGAGTCTTTATCGAGAAAAAGAAAAAGAGATATAAGAATTGCTTTAGAGCATTTTGTACGCGAGGCCCTTTCACAAGAATAGACAGTTCTTCAAGGGTCTTGTATAGAAAATCCTTCCCGACGACACGATTTCTAGCAATTTTGGACCTTGTCGTCCTGGTGGAAGCTCAGGGGGCACGGTTTCAGGCTTTCCTCGAGCGCGTTTCTCGTTATCGCGATGTGCAGTGTAGTTGCGACGATTTCGAATCACTAATAGAGCGTCTCTGACCACCTAGTGAAGCGGAATGTGTCGGGGGTACCAAATTTGCTTCCGGCAATGTCCAGTCGCGGATATGTCTCGAGCAAAGGTGAGAGAGATCGCTCATCTCTAAAAACTAGATTGTCACCTCACGGCGGAGCTGGATGAATCATCGATCCCTTTTCGGTTTACAATCTCAAGCTTGGGAAGCAAGGACTTCCACGACGAAATCTCTGATTTCCGTCAATAAATTATATATTTCGGCATGGAAGAAAAAAACACGAAACTTGCGTTTCTCCCTTTTACTTGATAACCATGTAACGATGATGATGAAATAAAGCAAGAGTTGATTGAATAATATCGATTGACGCATACGAAGGAACGAGCAGCCTTCGCTCAGCTCCGGCGACACTTTCCGAGGAGAAAAACTTTCCGAGCGAGCTTGATATTTTCCCTCTTGATATTTGCCGCCCGTTGCGAAAAGACGGGGCGAGAAATTCTACGAGGTACTCTGAAAGTTTTCCCTTCGGGAGGTGGAGGGGGAAGGGACGATGGGAGTGCATCGCGAACGGCCGATCAGTAAATAAGGATGTAGAAGGAGTCTTCTTCGCAGGGTCGCTGTCTACGACGAGAACTTTATCTATATATTTGCCACGATATTTAATATGTGAATGAATATATATTATATATCTATTGAATATAAGAGAGAGAGAGAGAGAGAGAAAATGCGAGTGAAAGAGAATATGTATGGTAATATATCATAAAATTATTATTCTCTTTGTTACTTCTTTATACTTAAAACAATAAAAAAGCTACTGAATAAAAATATGCTGCATGCTGTTGTTATTTAAGGCGGATGTTATTATTCTTCTGTGTATCTATCGGTGTGTTCAGCTGTAAGGCTATATATACGTGTTACGAGCGTTGCGCGTTTTATCCTCTTTTTCGGTTTTCTCAAGTCATTATTGTCGAGTTATTTATCGAGCAATCGTTTCTCGTCTTTTTCAAAGAAGAATTAGACAAATTAGACTTAAGAAAAAACCGCTGTTGATTAAAAGCGGGGAGTCGTATCTCTAGTCTTAAAAAGTTATCGATGATTAAAATCATATAATGACTGGTTAATATTTATATAGCGAGATACCCTTATCTATTAATTTCCGTTTATAATCGATGGTAATCTCTTCGCGACTTGTCGATAGCGATACATATACATTTGAAATTGGAAAACGTTGAAATATAAAGTCGTTTCTTCGAAATGTTTTCTTTTCTCTCATGTATCATTGGCACGAATTTAAAAATAAACTTTGGATAGTTTAAAAGTCATCACCTTTCTCGACGTAACTCCATATAATAACGTTTCTTGTTTTTAAACACCTAAGCATCATGCAATCAAAATAACTTAAAAATCCTATTCTTATTATTTAAAGAAGTAAAAGAGGAAAAGTAATTAAATATCTACGGTCAAGGAAACGCGTTTTTCATCTTTTTCCTACTCTTGCGTATATTTATATATTTCTAAAATTTAATTACATGAATATTAGCGCGTTGAAGGAATGTGTGAGAGAATACAGAGGGCGAGATTCAGCGAGTTCTATTTTTTACTTGGATATATATATATATATATATATGTATATGTATATGTATATGTATATATATATATATATGAATATCATAATTGTAGTTCGCTTAAGATTGTTCAACCTTTTTCTTTTGATATAGTTTGTTATTGTTGTTTTTGTATGATATTTGATTATATTAGCGGCGCGTGTAAAAAAAACAGATATTATTTATTGTAACCGATATCATTGATCGAACTATTACGTGTCTTGTAGCGCGATACTTGCATTTTTGAATTTCGATGACTCGACAAATCTATATATTTTTTTTTAGACGAACAATAAACAATACGTAACACATGAAATATCTCTCAGGTTCACATTTGATTTAAACTATATATTGCACTTGATTTTAAATGAATATAACGAAGTGGATGTAATCGAGGTACATAGTTGTTAACCTGGTTTACATTTTCTAACGTAACATTTGTTCGACTCTTTGTGTGATTATGCAATATCTTCATACGCAAAGCTCGAAGATGGTTAGGCTATCTCTAAAGAAACATAGATAAGAGGAAACACGAAGAAATAATGAAAAAATGAAAAAAAAAATATATATATATATACTGCGAGAAAATCGATTAAATAAATAAATAAATGATATACCTATATGATCAGAATGTTGCACCGATTTATCATTTTGTCACTCCCGGTAAATATGCATATTAGGTTACACCTCACCGATGACTTTGACCTTGACATATGTTGTC